TTCCATCATTTTAGCTTCCACATGTAAGTGAGAATTGCGGTATTTGATTTTGTGCACCTGGCTTATTTCACTTATTATAACGTCCTGAAGGTTCATCCACGATGACAAGGATTTCCTTCATTTTATGGCTGGATGGTTCTCCATTGTGTATATTTACCACATTTTTTTTTAATAAACAAAAGAGGTTTAATTGAATCACAGTTCTTCATGGCTGGGAAGGCCTCAGGAAACTTATAATCATGGTGGGAGGTGAAGGGGAAGTAAGGTACATCTTACATGGCAGCAGGTGAGAGAGAGCGCACTGGGACGGAGGGGAACTGCCAAACACTTTTAAAAACCGCGAGATCTTATTCAAACTCACTGTCATGAGAACAGCATGGGGGAAACCATAATCCAGTCACCTCCCACCAAGTCCTTCCCTTAACATGTGGGGATTGCAATTCAAGGTGATATTTGGATGGGAACACAGAGTCTCACCACATCAACCCAGGGTTCATATGGGAATTATGTTTTTTGGGTTTTTGAGAAACATTCATATGATTTTCCATAATGGCTGTACTAATTTACATTCCTACCAACAGTATGCTAGTGTTCTTTTTTCTTTATATCCTCACCAACTATTTACCACATTTTTAATCCATTCATCTGTGGATGGGCACTTAGCTTGATTCCATATCTTGCTATTGTGAATAATGCTGAAATGAATATGGGAGTGAAAAATACTGATTTCACTTATTTCGGATATAGATCCAGTAAGAAAATTGCTGGATCACATGGTAGTTCTATGTTTAATTGTCTGAGGAACCTCCGTACTGTATTCCATGATGGCTGTACACATTACGTTCCCAAAACGCACAAGGGTCCCCTTTACTCCACATCCTCACCAACACGTATCTTTTGTGTTTTTGATAACAGCCATTCTAACAGGTATGAGGAGATACCTTGTGGTTTTGATTTGCATTCTCCTGATTAGTGATGTTGAGCATTTTTCCAGACATCCGTTGGTTATTTGCATGTTGTCTTTTGAGGAATGTCTATTCAAGTCCTTGCCCATTTTCTTTTTTTTTTTTTCCTTTTTTTATGAGGCAGAGTCTTACTCTGTTGCCAGGCTGGTGTACAGTGGCGCAATCTCGGCTCACTGTAACCTCCACCTTAGGCAATTCTCCTGGCTCAGCCTCCCGAGTAGCTGGGACTGCAGGTGCACACCACCATGCCCAGCTAATTTTTATATATTTAGTAGGGATGGGGTTTTGCCATGTTGGCCAAGCTGATCTCGATCTCTTGGCCTCATGATCCACCCACCTTGGCCTCCCAAAGTGCTGTGATTGTAAGTGTGAGCCACTGTGTCCAGCCTCAAATTTCTTTGTTTCTTGCTAGTGAGTTGTTTGAATTCTCTGTGTATTTTGGATAGTAGCCCTTTGTCAGATGTGTGATTTGCGAATATTTTCTCCCATTCTGTAGGTTGTCTCTCCACTCTGTTCACTGTATCCTTTGCTGTGCAGAAGCTTCTCAGTTTGCTGTAATATCGTTTGTTTATTTTTGCTTTTGTTGTCAGTGCTTTTGGGGTATAATCCAAAATGTCATTGCCCAGATCAATGTTATGGAGCTTGAGCTCAGGAGTTCGAGACCAGCCTAGGCAACACAGACCACGTCTCTACACACACACAAAATTTTAAAGCCATTCGTGGTGGCATATGCCTGTAGTTCTAGCTACTCAGGAGGCTGAGGCAGGAGGATCACTTGAGGCAGGGAGGTGGAGGCTGCAATAAGCCATGATCATGCCACTGTACTCCAGACTGGGTGACAGAGACTGTCTCAAGGGAAAAAAAACATGTCACCTGCAAATGGACAATTCAATGTTTTTCTTTCCAATTTGGATGCCCTTTGTTTCTGTTGCCTGATTGTTCTAAGACCTCCGGTACTATACTGAATAGAGGTGGTGAGAGTGGGCATCTTTGTCTTGTTCTGGATCTTTATCTGCTGATTATGATGCTAGCTGTGGCTCTGTCATATGCGGCCTTTATTGTGTAGTTGCACATTCTTTACATACCTAATTAGTTGCGAGTTTTTTATCATTAAAAGCTGTTGAATTTGTCAAATGCTTTTTTCTGCATATATGTGAAGGCTCACAGAGTCATGTGGTTTGATCTCTGTCTCCCTACCCAAACCTCACCTTCAATTGTAATCCCCGGTATTGGAGATGGGGCCTCCTGGGAGGTGATTGGGTCATGGGGGCAGTTTCTCATGGTTTAATGCCATCATGGCAATAGCAAGATATCGTGAGATCATGTTTAAAAGTGTGAGCACCTCCCCTCCCTCCTGCTCCAGCCATGTGAAGTGCCAGTTTTCCCTTCGCTGTCCACCGTCACTGAAGCTGAGCGGATGCTGCCATGCTTACTGTACACCCTACGGAACCATAAGCCAGTTAAACCTCCTTATTTTCTTTCTTTCTTTTTTGTTTTTGAGACAGAGTCTCACTCTGTCACCCAGGCTGGAGCGCAGTGGCATCCTGGGAGTTCACTGCAACCTCTGTCTCCTGGGTCCAAGCAATTCTCCTGCCTCGGCCTCCTGAGTAGTGGGATTACAGGTGCCTACCACCATGCCTTCCTGATTTTTAAAATTTTTTGGTAGAGGTGGGGTATTCCCATGTTGGTCAGGCTGGTCTCAAACGCCTGATCTCAGGTGATCTGCCCACCTCAGCCTCCCAAAGTGCTGGGATTACAGGCGTGAGTCACCATGCCCAGCCTAAACCTCTTTTCTTTGTAAATTAACCAGTCACAACCTTTTTTTTTTTTTTTTTTTTGGTTGCTTAGAAATTTATTTGAGAAAAAAAACAGAAGATAAACGTATCAAAAGAACACACAGGTGGGTGGGTGGGGGCACGGCCAGCGGCGGCGGCAGGGGTGGGCATCCGGACTAAGGCTTTTACGTGGCTGCAGACTGGCCGGATTTCGCAGCTTCTGGGCCCCCGAGCTGGGCCCGCGACTCGAAGGTGACGGGGATGCTGACCTCGTGGGGCTGTGTGGCCGGCTTGGGCGTGGGGGCCTCCACGGTCAGTGTGCCCTCAGGGGACAGGGAGGAGGAGACCTGGGTGGGGTCCACGCCGGGGGGCAGCGCGTATTTCCGGGTGAAGCGCCGGGAGGTGAACCCGTGCTCATCCTGCCGCTCCTCGTGCTTGCCGGTGATCTCCGCCGCGCCGTCCTTGGTCTAGACCGTCAGCTCCTGGGGGCGAAGTGGTTGACGTCCGGGGACACGCGCCAGCGGCCCGCCGTGTGCCGGATCTCCGAGCCCCCGCTGCTGAGCGCGCGGCTGTAGGCGGGCGCGGCCACCTCGGGGCCCCGGACGGCGGCGGGGGCAGGGGGCGCACGGAGCCCGGCCAGCTGCTGGTGCCGAACCGCTGCGACCACTCCTCCGGCAGCCGGGGCGTCCCGAAGGCCCGGTGGAAGAGCCGGCTGTGCGGGGACCAGTCGCGGAAGGGGTCCCAGCTGGGGCTCCGCAGGAGCGAGAAGGGGACGCGGCGCTCGGTCATGCTGGCCGGCTCTGCTCGCGACGTCTGCTCGGAGAAGTGCCGGCATTTCTTTATAACAATGCAAGAATGAACTAGTACCAAAAATTGGTACTGGGAGTGGGACATTGCTATGAAGATACTTTAAATATGGAAGCAGCTTTGGGACTGGGTAGTGGTCAGAGGCTGTAACAGTTTGGAAGGCTCAGGAGACAGGAAGATGAGGAAACAATTCAAACTTCCTAGATGTTCCTTAAACTGTGATAGGTAAGTCATGTGGACAATCAAGTCCGGGCTGATAGATAGGCATGTGAACTAAACATGCAGACAGTCATGTGGACAATGAAGTCCAGGCTGAGCGGGTTTCATATGGAAATAAAAACCTTATTGGGAACCGCACTAAAGGTCACTCTTGTATGCGTCAGCAAAGAGACTGGTGGCATTGTGCTCCTGCTCTAAGAATCGGTGGAACTTTGAACTAGAGACAGTTTAGGGTATCTTGTGGAAGAAATTTCTAAGCAGCATAGTATTCAAGACTTGACCCAGTTGCTTCTAAAAGTCTATGTTCGTATGCCTGAGTAAAGAAATGGCCTGAAACTGGAACTGATATTTAAAAGAGAAGCAGAGCTTAAACATTTGAAAATTTTGCAGCCTGGCCATGCAGTAGGTAAGAAAAATCCGTTTTCAGGGGAGGTATTACAAGCAGGTTGCCGAAATTTGCCCCAGTAAAGAGGAGTCAATTGCTAATAGACAAGACAATGGGAAAAAGGCCTCAGAAGCGTTTCAGAGCCCACTGTGAGAGTCCCTCTCATCACGGGCCTGGAGGCCTGGGAAGACTGAAAGGCTTTATGGGCCAGGCTCAGGTCCCTGCTGCTCTGTGCAGCCTCAAGACAGGATGCCCTGCATTTTGGCCACTCCAGCTCCAGCCATGGCTAACAGTGGTGAAGGTACAACTTGGGCTGCTGCTTGCGAAGGTGCCAACTGTAAGCCCTGGCAACTTCCACCTGGTGTTAAGCCCGCAGGTGCACAAGGAGGCTTAGGAACCTCCACGTAGATTTCAGAAAATGTCTACAAAATCCAGAGAACCTGTAACTGGGATGGTGTGGAGGGGAGAAGGGGGGTTTGAGCCTCCATATAGAGTCCCCACTAGGGCACTGCTGTGAGAGGAGAGCTACCATCCTCCAGACCCCAGAATGGTAGAGCCACCTGATACCAGAAAGGAGTCCAAATCCAGAGCCCAAGAGAGGGTTCTTGGATCTCGTGCAAGGAAGAATTTGAAGCAAGTCCACAGTGCAAAATGGATGCAACTTTATTAAAGGGGTGCAGGAATAGCGACCCCATAGACAGGGTGGGGCATTTCCAAAAGTAAGAGGAGACAGGCATCCATCCTAGGTACAAAGCATATTTAAAGCTAGAAATGCTTTTGTTCTCAAGGTACCAGGAGATTCTGGGTCTGTCAAGGCAAGAGTCTGTTTAGGAAACATCATTAATCTGTTCCCTGAATGTTGACATCTGGAGGCTAGGAATGCTTGACCTCCTGGGAATGCAGCCCAGCAGGGCCCAGCTTCATTTTTCTTGGCCCATATTCGAAACAGAGTCACTCTGGTTTGAATGCTTCTAACCTATCCCCCCCACCCTTTTACAAGAGGACCCTTAATTCTAAGGGTTGCAGAAGGATGAAGGTCCGTCTTCTGTAACTTCTTCATGCTGAACAGGGGCGATGATATTTCCACGTATCTATTAGGGTCTCTTGTATTCAGGGTAGAGAGGAGTCAGTCAGAAAGCGTTGGTACATTAAGCGTCATTTGTACCTCTGTGTTCCAGCAAAAGGTGAAACCTGGAAGATTAAGAGGTGTCCAATTTAAGAAAGTATTGAGTAAGCTTACCCTGTGTTTCTACACAAAGAGTACAACAACAATATATTCAACAACAGCAAAGCAAAATAAGAAAGATGATCCCAGGTAAGCTAACAGGAAGGCTTTCCGAACACTGGGCAGTTGTTGGAGCCAAGCCACCATGGAGGTGCCTGCCAGTGCGTCGATGGCAGAGACAGGAGTGCCTCCAGCTTTCTCAGCTGGGGTAATGCTGTGTCAGTAGTCTGGAGCATGCAACATTTGGTTTTGATCAAAGCACAAGTTTCCCCTTGAGCTGCTGTTAAAATGGCTTTGCCATACAGTTTGTTAAGGCCACCTGCCTAATCTGAGAGGCGTCCTCAGGAGGGTAAGGGCATGGTGCGTGCTATTCAAAGCTGCAGCCGTGTGTATGGCCAAGGCTTCAACACTGATTGTGGCTGCCTGTGAAGAAAGTATAGCCATCTGGTAGAAGCAGATGGCTTCTAGAGTGAGCCCTTACAGTTTCCCAGTTAGATGAAGACAGTCCAATTTGGTGAGGATACATCCCAGAGGATAAAGATGACCCCACGTACACCTTCCAGTCCACTTATAAGATACATATGACCAGCTGAGTTCCACAAGGCCCTAACAACCTTGAAAAAGAAGAGACACTGTTTTTCTGTGAATTACATTGCCATCTCATCCACATTTTGTTCTTCTTTTAGAAGGGTCTTACTCGAATTTTGGGAAAATCAGCAGCTAATAAATTATTTAAGCTGTGTGTCCATGCCTCCTCTGCCTTGTATTAAAAGAGAAAGCTGAGACCCTTTGCTACTGGCATCTCTGGCAAAGCCTTCCACAGGTACAATGACTGGAAAAGACTTAACCTGAAAGAAACATTACTCACAGTTTTCATTTTTTTTTTTTTTTTTTTTTTTGAGATGGAGTTTTGCTCTTGTTACCCAGGCTGGAGTGCAATGGCGCGATCTCGGCTCACCGCAACCTCCGCCTCCTGGGTTCAGGCAATTCTCCTGCCTCAAGCCTCCTGAGTAGCTGGGACTACAGGCACGCGCCACCATGCCCAGCTAATTTTTTGTATTTTTAGTAGAGACAGGGTTTCACCACGTTGACCAGGATGGTCTCGATCTCTTGACCTCGTGATCCACCTGCCTCGGCCTCTCAAAGTGCTGGGATTACAGGCGTGAGCCACCGCGCCCGGCCCACAGTTTTCATTTTTATTTATTTACTTTTTACCAAGTAAAAAACTATGGTCATTATTTTAAAGTAGTAGCACTACCAAGTGGCAATGGGAGAGGCTGGGCTTCCGTAGAGTCAGATAACCAGTTAAACGCCCTCAGAGGTTAAGAACTAACTAGCTGCTGCTTGAGGGAAGGGGAACTATTCCTGCCACAGGCTTCTGAGAGCTGTTCCTTCCAGAGGTCCTTTTAAAGATGAATTTGTCTAATACGGGGAGTCTCAAAAGCCCAATTTTACAGTAAATACTAAATCCCATTTCCTAGGGTCTGCTCCTTTGAGGTGCTCCATCTGGTATGGTCAGGAAGTGTGACTCCTAAGGCTGGTGCCTCAAATTCACTTCTGTGGGTTTTGCTAACTCATGGGGTGACCGATTGAAAAATGTAGCTCACCGAGAGGCTGAATGGGCTGCATGTTTTCTGCACAGCTCTCTGCAAATCTTTCTCTTGGCTGGCTTTTGAAAATACCAAGTGGCCATGAGTTTGAGGTGATAAAACTCCCTCTTCAGCAGGCCCCGTGCTGTGGTCGTGTGTCAGGTGCTCTTTGCAGCTGGTGAAGGCAGAATCAGGATTGGAATATATGTTAAACAAAGGCCGAATCTAGACACGTGCACATCTAGAAGGCTTTCCCAGTTCTTTACAATGGAGCTTCATCAGTGTCTGTTACAACAAAATTGTCCTCCAAACATTAATCTGGGATCTTCTCCAGTACCTGTACAGAGTGGACTGTTCGTCTGTCCGACACTTACTGTGTTCCACCAGGAAGGACACCTTCCAAAGCAAGAAGCTGTTGGACAAAATCAACAGACTGTCCGGGCGTGATCCACGTGGCAGAGGTTTACTTCCCGAAGAACGGACTTCACCTTTTATCACCACTTCACACTGAGGTCCAAATGGCTGCACAGACATTTTTTAGATCCTAATAGAGAAAGAAAGTCTGAGTTGAAGATTCTAAATTCAATTCTTTTGTCAACTATTTCCTGTATTTCCTTTGTCCAAAAGACTAAGCTAGGGAATACAATGGTATCCCACCCTTAGAGCTTATGCTCCAGAGAAGAACGTAGGGAAGGAGAGAGACGATCACAATACCATCTGCACAGCGGGTGTGAGCAGCCCCGGTGCTACAGCATGCTACTCATGAGAAACCTGGGGAGAGGAGAGCAAAGCTTCCCAGAAGGAGCCAGCCCAGGGAAGTTGAGGACCAGCAGTCCAGGCACAGGTATTCACTCACGCTGGGGCAGGCAGGACTCTTGCCTCCTTCTGTTAGGTCCTAATAGCAGCCTGAGCACACAAGAGAGTTCTGTAACCCAGGCAGGAGGATTAGCCATGTGTGACTCAGAGGAGAGTGCCCTTTAAGCAAGGGTCACACAAGCAAGACTGATACTCTTGACAGGGGAACTCTGGCTGTCAAGTTGATATTCACTTAGGATTTGGAAGCCCAGAATTCATGGGCCCATAGAAGACATGAAGGAATATAGCTCAACAGCTGACAAAATCCACTAGTAGCTTCTGGAAGAATAAGAAAAGTGAATGAAAAGCCGGGCATGGTGGTTCGTGCCTGTAATCCCAGCACTTTGGTAGGCCAAGGCGGGTGGATTACGAGGTCAGGAGTTTGAGACCAGCCTGGCCAATATGTAAAACACCGTCTCTACTAAAAATACGGAAATTAGCTGGGTGTCGTGGCGTGCGCCTTTAGTCTCAGCTACTTGGGAGGCTGAGGCAGAAGAATTTTTGAACCCAGGAGGTGGAGGTTACCGTGAGCCGAGATCATGCCACTGCACTCAGCCTGGCCAGCAGAGTGAGACTCTGTCTCAAAAAAAAGAAAGAAAACGAAAAATGAATGAGAAAAATCAATATTGTTGTTTCATTATTTACTTTTGTCAGAATATACTTAAAAATAATGATTTCTTAATATATACTCAGCTGGTTTCAAAGGAGATTATCAGTCACAAAAAGAAGAAAATCTGAAGCTAAATTAAAGAGTTTACACTGATTCACAGCATCTATTCACGAAAGTAAGATGTGGACTTTGTCATTCAAATTGTGGATCTTGAAGCACATCCCAGCGAGTGGCTGTTTTGAGAGATGAGTAAAACCTTGTCATAATAAACGTATTTATGTTACCCTTCCTCCCAAACTTTGGATCCTTTGGAGAAAAAGAAAACTATAACCTCATGTTCCTCTCCAGGTTTCACAGATAGATTCTCTAGATCCACTGAGAGGGACGTCCTCATCCTGGAACCTAAACAGTCACGGAATCATAATGAAATGCTGACTCACAACATGCAGCTCTCGCTCAGCGACTCCTGCCTTTGGTTCCTTCCTCGTTTACTAGGAGAGGTGACTTTTCGTGTCTCCTAGTCCCTCACAGTCTCAGCTCATCCTGGTCCCTTGGAAAGCGCCTCTTTTCCGTCTTCTTCTTCCATAACAAACCTGACCTCCCACAAACTGCACCCCCAATTTCATGTCACTAACACCCTCTCATGCACCTTCACGTCACAGAAAGAGGTCAAAGTGTGTGGGTCACTCTTTTTCAACTCCAACCGCAGGCTGACACGCACATTTTTCAGAAATCAATTCAGCACTTGGTTTTCCTATTCAAGACATTGGGCTCTACACTGAGAGCACCACAGCATACATACACTTCAGGCTAGAGAAACATCCAGCTTTTCAAACTCTCAGCAATGCCACCAGCTGCTCCTCAGGGCACCCTGAAGGGACAGGCAGCACCAGGGCCCTGAGAAGGCAGGGAACTCTCACAGTCTCAGGAAAGATGAGTTGATGGTGCTCTGACAGAAATTCATAAAATCCATATGTTGATTATCTAAACTTCGATGTTCCCAGCATTTCTCGGAGGTAAGGGCAGCTTTATGGATGAGGCCACGATGGCCACCAAATGCATCATCCAGAAGATGGAGCGAGACAGACTTTCAACAATCTGTCACCATTAAAGTGACATCAGTCTGAATGCAAGACACTGACGGCAGAGGACAGGACTGAGAGGACCCGTAAGTGCCTGGGAGCATGAATTTTAACTCTTTCTGCGCGTTCTTGGATATCAACACTTCTCAGAACTGGCGTAGGCTTTGGGCCGTCAACTTCTATGTCAACTCTTGCCACGAAGTCTCCTCCTGAGTCTTGAACCTCTAAAATTAAAAAAGGCCATTCCTTCTGCCAATTTTTTTCTAGAAGAAAAAAAAAAAAAAGGTTATTCTTTTAGTTCAGAGACCAGAGCATCAGCACTCCAACACAATGCCCTTAGGGGCCACACAAAAATGTAGGCAAGAAGATTTTTTAAAGACTTAAAAGAGGACTGGAAATGAGTGCGGAAGCAGAAAAAGCAAGAGCACAGTCAGCTGGTAAGTGAGATGAGATCAGTGTAGAGAAAGTATCCCCATAGGCCCTCGGAGGTACTTGCTGTGGTCATGACCCAAAACAGTAAGCCCTCTACCTCACTGTCAGACCATTAGATACTTGACAGATGACTGGGAGTGTTCACACTCACTGACAGAGGAAATCAGTCTCAAATTTGTCGTGTATTCAGATATAGAGAAAAGCAATTTCCAGAAAATATTAACATGATATCTAAAGAGCCAAGCGGCTTCTGGAAAAGAACTGAAATTATCAGAAATTCTGGACCTTATGAGAAAAAAAATTAATATGTACTAGTATTGTTTCCAATATGAATGAAAGAAAAGCAGTTTGGAAAACCTTATCTTTTTTTGTTGTTGTTTTTTAATGGAAAGCCCACCCTATCCTACCTGTCCCTCATAAATGGCAGGTATCACGTGGTTGACCACAAAGCAGCCTGCCAGCCAAGGGACCACTCAGTGCAGGGAGCAGCTCCCACAGGAGCTCAGCCGGGTTCCTTGGAAAATGTCAGACTCTGCCAGACCACGGTGTTCTGTTCAGAAAGAGAAGACTCAGTTTCAGTAAAGCCAATAGCAGTAAGAATGTGAAATGTGTTAACAAATCTTTAACAAAAGCATTTCTGTTCATAGAAATGACATATTCTTGGAAGAGTATTTTTCGCTGTACATTTGTATTCACAACACTGAGAATCAGCTTGACTAGTACAGTGGTGTATATCTGGTTCATTGATTTTTTTTGGCAGGGACTTTCCAGACTTCACAACTTCAGTCACCAAAATCAAGAATGTCTTTCTGTTCTGTTTCTACCTAATTACAAAAAAGGAAGTGATTTATGAAAAGCAATATATTAATAAATAGCATTACTTATGTTCACATTACTGCCATTTCTAGCCACAAATTAAGAGTCAGGATTCAGGAGTTTAAGAGCAACCTGGCCAACCTGGTGAAACACAGTCTCTACTAAAAATACAAAAATTAGGTGGGCCTGGTGGTGTGTGCCTGTAACCCCAGCTACTCAGGAGGCTGATGCAGGAGAATCACTTAAACCCAGGAGGCGGAGGTTGCAGTGAGCTGAGGTCACACCATTGCACTCCAGCCTGGGCAACAGAATGAAGACGCCATCTCGAAAAAAAAAAAAAAAAAAAAAAAAAAAAAAAAAGAAAAAAAAAAAAAGCGGATTAAGGAGAACTTTTCAATTGCTTTTCTACAAAGATAAATGTTAAATTCTTTTTGTGAGGTCATCTCTCTACCTAAATAGGCCAGAGAATTAAGCTGCTGCAGCCTGGAAGAGACTAATCTTCAGTTGAAGTGACAATCACATAAATCATACAGACCTCCTTTCTATTGTCAGGAAGTTTTAACAATAAGTTCTGCTATTAGAATAACGACTTCTCCATTCCCTTCAAAAAGTCACTAATATCTTGGCATTTTCAGATTTTATTTTAAAATGTTAAAAATTATATAAAGTTCACAACAAGTGTCTATGATCATGATGAACTGAATTCCTTCATCGGAGGCGACCAATATAACTGAGACCGCTGAGGCCCCCACGTGTGGAAATACTTGAAGCTATGGGAGTCCCACTGGACATCACCATCCGTGCAGGTCCCTGACATGACATGGCACCGTGCTTGCGTGCAGCCGAGGCACATCCTCCTTCATACTTCGAATCACTCCTAGATTACTCATAATACCAAACAGGGTATAAATGCTACGTAAATAGTTGTACATTATCAGGTAGAGAATAAGAACAAGGAAGAAACGCCTGCACACGTTCAGTACAAACGCAGCCGTCTTTTTTATGGGAGGGGCAGGGATATTTTTGATCCAAGCTTGGTAGAGCGTGAGGATGCAGGACGCACAGATACAGAGGGCTGCAGAGATTCCACACACACACACATTTTCCTTTGCCCTATTCAACCATAAAATGAAGGGAACTCAAAGGCCGCCTGGCAGGAGGGAGCTGACTTGCATGGCGGCCAGAAAAGTCTGGGGTCCAAATTCACCCTCAAGGTGGTAAAGCTTTAATGCCTTCCAGAGAACAACTGATGTGACTTCAAGTTTGTTGTGGACAGGACGAGGCTAAAATAAAACCTGAATTCTACACAAAGTCCAGAAATTCAAAGAAGTGCCCTTTCTAGAAATAAAAAGAAAACTGAAAAAAGTCTGACGGCATGTCTGTGAGGGTAACAACGAGCCTGTCCAGAGGTGGGTGGCATCGAAGACTGTTAATAGGAGCGGAAAGCCTGGGCCTAGGTCCCACCAGGCGTGAGAGCCCCAGGCTGAAAATCACCGAGGCTTTCAGTGCCTCCAGCATTTCTGCAAAAGGCTCTCTAGGGACATTTCCAAAGACAAGGACACATGGGATTCCTAGAGCAAAAAAGCCTCAGTCAATGTGCGCTTGCATGAAACAATTTTAAATATATATTTTAAAAAATGGAAACCACTCAAAGAAAGTCAGGACGAATCAACAAAAGTAACTGGTGGAAACATTAGTATCTCAAGAAACAGAAATCTGAAATAAACCACACAATGAGTTGGTTTTAAATACAGACCATGAAGTCTATAAACAGAGGAAAAGGCAAAATATTCATGAAGTAATGGTGAGCACCAAGAAGTATCAATAACTTGGTCAATCTCTAAAACCTTTTTAATGTTGGGGTTTCAAAAAATGTTTACAACTAAAATATCGGTCAAAGGTAATATGGAAGGAAAAGATGAGCATTTAAATGAAGAAAGCGACTGTGTTGCTTGAGAATCGAACAGAGCTCCTGATTCACTTTAGATTTGGGTAAGCAATATGTGATGAGTGGAAATGGAAACACAGGCGGGTGCAGTGGCTCAGGCCCGAAATCCCAGCATTTTGGGAGGCCGAGGCAGGTGGATCACCTGAGGTCAGGAGTTCGAGACCAGCCTGGCCAACATGGCAAAACCCGGTCTCTACTAAAAACACAAAAATTAGCCAGGCGTGGTGGGGAGCACTTGTAATGCCAGCTATTCAGGGGACTGAGGCAGAAGAATCACTTGAAACCGGGAGGCAGAAGTTGCAGCGAGCCGAGATCGCACCACTTCACTCCAGCCTGACAGAGTAAGACTCCGTCTCAAAAAAAAAAAAGTAATAAAATAAATAAAAAATAATTCTTTTTCTCTCTTTTGTCTTAGAGTCAATTTTGTCTGGTGTTAATATTGTGCATCATGTTTCTTTTGCTTTCTTTCTTTTTTTGGGGGGGGGATGGAGCCTTACTCTGTCACCCAGGCTGGAGTGCAGTGGCACAATCCCAACTCTCTGCAACCTCTACCTCCTGGGTTCAAGTGATTCTCGTGCCACCAAACCTGACTAATTTTTTATATTTTTAGTAGGGACGGGGTTTCACCATATTGGCAAGGCTGATCTTCAGCTCCTGACCTAGTGATCTGCTCACCTCAGCCTCCCAAAGTGCTGGGATTGCAGGCATGAGCCACGGCACTCAACCCTATTTTATGAGTTTTAAACTTTTTTAGGGTCAGAGTCTTGTTCCGTCACCATTCCTGGAGTGCAGCAGCACAATCATAGCTCACTCCAGCCTGGACCTCCCGGGCCACCACAACTGGCTGATTTTCCAAAACTTTTTTAGAGACAGAGTCTCACTGGGTTGCCCAGGCTGATCTAAAGCTCCTGGCCTGAATGAAGTGGTCCTCCCTACCAGGCCTCCCTAAGTGCTGGAATTACAGGCATGAGCCGCCAAGTCTGGCTAAGAATTCTTAAAACGAACCATTGCACATAGAAGACAAAACAATCTTAAGCCTAAACATATGTAACAATATAGCTGCGTAATACCCAAGAAAAAAATGATAGGATGTATAATTCCCCTTGTAAGAGAAATTTCAGATCTACAACCATCTCTCAGAAGCTGAAAGGCTAAGCAAAGAAAAATATGAGGAATGATTTCGAAGATTTGAACTACAGAGAAATAAACCAGAGCCGAGTACACGTAAGAGCGCTGCACCTGAGAGACAGTCCTTCTGAGCTCACAGGAGACGCCGACATCAGCTGAACACACCCTAGGCTACAGAATCAACCCACCTGCCTCCATCCCACACTCTGGCCGTGAAGGGGGATGTGGTTGCTGGGGAGAAAGCGGCCAAGTATGATAAAGACTCATTTACAAGTTCTCACCTTCATAACAGGACTCCCCACAGTAACAGAGTGACACTAAATGCTGGCTAGACCGGATTTAACCTTTTAACACCACTTCACACTGAAGTCCAAATGGCACAAATATTTTCCAGACCCTAACAGAGAAAGAAATCCCAATGGAAGGTCCTTGTATCTAATTATTTTGGCAAGTATTTTCTACATATTTCCTTTGTGCAAAAGACTGAGCCAGGTGCTGAGGATATGAAAGATATTCCCACCTTTAGAGCTTATGCTCCAAAGAATATAGACAAGGAGAGAGACGATCACAATGCCACGTGCACAGGGGGTGTGAGCAGCCATGGTGCTACCGGAACGCGGTTTATAGGAAGTCTGGGAAGAATGGAGGAAAGTGTCCCAGAAGGAGCCAGCCCAGGGAAGCTAAAGACAAGCAGTCCAGGCAGAGGCACTCACACTGGTGCGGGCAGGACTCGTCTTCTTCTGTACGGTCCTATGAGCAGACTGAGTACACAAGAGAGTTCTATAACCCAGGCGCGGGGAGAAGCCACGTGTGTCTCAGAGCAGACTGTGCTTCAAGCGAGGGTAATACAAGCAAACTCAACACCTTGGCAAGGGAGCTCTGGCTGTAAGTTGATATTCATTTATGGTTTGAGGGCCCAGAATTCACGGGGCTGGAGAAGAAATGAAGAAATATATCTTAACAGCTGACAAAGTCAACTAGTAGTTTCTGGGAGAAAAAGAAAAGGTGAATGAGAAACATCAATACACGGTGCGGTGGGAACAAAGAGCCAGGCTCATCACTGAGGTCCCGCAGCCCCACGCCACCCCGGCTGTGACGACAACTCTGGCCACCCCTCCCTTGTCACTCTCAGTGGGGATCTTCTCTTCTGCTCCCAACTTCCAAAGACATCACTGCTCCATTCACAGACTCCTGGACACCCCTAAAAAGTCTTCCCAGCCCACCTTTCACCTCAACCCTTTCCTTCAATCACCGGCTTTTCATCCAAGCTGAGGATCTGAAAGTAGAGGGGAAAAGCCAGGACAGGGGAGGTGGGGAGGGCAATCTGATTTTACCAGGTAAACAAGGGCCACTAAGAGGCACAGGCGAGGATTAAACCTCTCCACCAATGCTGGTTTGCAAGTAGCGGTCACGAAACTGGGACACTGAAAACCAGCAGCTGCTGACCCTGTTCCCTGCCCCGCTCCCTGCCATTCAGATGGTCGTCGTAACCAGGAAAGATGTGGAGTCTGGAATCACAGCAGCTGCAGTTGAGCATGTGGGAGACTCTTGCCTTCAGAGTTCATGCTAAAACTGCATTTCCAGGTATTTCAAAAGCTTATGTAAGGCAACTGTCAGATAAATGAGTAAAAAGGACTCCCCTTACCAAGTGAAGGCAGAGCCCCAAGATTGACTTGTTTCTCTCCTTCTTTCTTTTGATAAATGACAATAAGTTACATTCAGTCCCATTTTACAAAATTAATGAGTAGAGGGACCAGGATCTCTGAGCTTTCAGTGATTGTAATAATAGGGCTACAAACAAATTTTTATGATTTTATAAATAAATAACAATGAAATATAAATAATGACACAAAAAGTAAAATATTCAGATTTCAGTGTACACTGGAACATGTACTACGACAAAATGAGGAGAAGCTCCGTGGCGGTGCCGGTGTGAGGTGGAAAGGGGCAGGGAGCGCCGGGCCCTGAGAAAGGAGAAATCACGCGCTGATGCCCAGTGCAACTGTTACATCAAAGAAGGGCACCCGGGAAGGCTGCCTTCTCCCCACGGGCATGGAGCTGAGGACCTCGAGGCCAGCTGCACTGAGCACAGGAAGGCGGGTCTGGGAAGCTGTCCCAACACAACAGCCATGGGGAAGCGTCCCCTCCTCAGGCACTCGGACACTCCCTGGGTGAGAATAAGGCACAAAGATGCAAGTGACAGCAGACCTGACCAGAGCTCAATCGGTTCAATGACAACGAGTCTATGAGACGGCCTGTGTGTTGCTCAGAGCTACAGCTCAAAGTGCTCCAGAGGCAGGAGTCCTTGTCCCTGCCTGAGCCTCAGCAGAGACCTACCGACAATTTTTTCCTGCCTCCATCCAGCCCGGGAAAAACAAGTAAGATTACATCGAACTCACCATTATAGCTACTGAATTCTTCGGTGTCACTGCCAGTCATGTCTTCCTGTTTTCTCTCACAAATCCTAAGCCACTGCTTAACCTAAAAGAAAACCACAGAGGCTCTAACTTTCCAGATGTGGAGCCTATCCGACTCCAATACTACCACCCGTCTCTGCCCCATCCTCACGCAGTTGCTCTGGAGGGCAGAGAAGACAGCACCCCAGTAGCATGTGTGCCATGTCAGGAAAAGCACCACTCCCAGCTATGGGGGTGCGGTGCAAGAGAGCGGCTGCCCCACAGCTGCGCCCGAGGCGGCTGCCTCTCCACCGCGACAGCCACCCGGAGACTCACAGGGGGAAGCGCTCGCTCGCTCTGGGATTCAACTCTAAACGCGACGTCTCCTAGGTGAAATCATCACAAACCTGCAACAACAGAGCAAAAGAGAGGTGAGGAAGACAAAGCCACAGGCAGCCTGTCACCTGCACGGATGCTTGGGGTGTTCTAAGCCATCTTCAAGAACGCTTGCACACAAAAAAAAATAAAAATAAAAATAAAAAAATAAAAAAAAGAACGCTTGCACAAAAATATGTTGTGGTGCTCTCAGTTGAAGACAAAGCACAAAGCTTACAAGAAGTGAAGGCCAACCAGGAACTCCATGAAACAAACTAGCTTTGTGGGGTCATTTGAAAAAAATCCAACTATTAAATAACAACAACAACAGAGCAAAAGCATCTCACCCCATCCTGATGTCACTCTTGAATCCCGTGGTGCATTTCCGCAGTTTGAACCAACAGACTGCACAGGAAAGGGTTTCGCTGCACTCAGCGGGTTCCTATGTAAGGCATTAGAATCTGGGTTGCAGATGGAAGAGGAACCCGTCCATCCGGAGCCAGTATTTGGTCCCAGATTCCCAGCCACAGAGTTCTGCACATGTTCCCCCAGGACAGCTGGACAGAGACAGCCTCCTGAGAAGCCACAGACTGTGGCACTGCCAGCCTGGCACTGAGACAAGGTGACACTTTCAGCTGAAGGGAATGTTCTTAAATTCCTCTGAGTGAAGGAAGCTGTGCCGGGAGGGGTCACATCAAGAGTGCAGGCACCGCAGCGGGCAAGTTCCGCATCTCAGCTGCAGAGCCGTGAATGGTGCCGCTGGGAACAGGTCCTGGTCTCCGAGCTCACTACTTGCAGCTGACAGAGCTGTAAAGATGATTCCTTGATCTTCATCCACCGTCCCCCGGTAGGACACAGGGAGGTGTGAGTGGCTGATCCCGTCTGATGATTCAGACCTGACTTGCTCAGGAGAGCCAGCCTGACTGGGTCCACTTCCTTGAGGCAGGAGGTCAAGTCCACCTCACTGGGTTCCAACAGATGTCCACTTTTGGAGGAGGGATCTTCACATGATCGAAGGTTGGGCTCTCCATCTTTAGGCTGGCTACTCAGAGAAGCGGTTTGTCATTATTTCATAACAGAGTTGTTTGGATCATAGATGGCAATGTTCCTTTTCCTGTGTTCTGAAATCAAATCTTTTCTCTCAGTTTCTCCACAGCCTATTCCTCCGATGGGGCTGGGCTGGCTGGAACAATTGTGCTCGTCTCACTGGTGATATCACTCTGACTGTGACATTTTAAAAAATAATCAAGATAAACAGAATATCACAAATTCAAGTCATGCTGGTATAAACTCAGATAATGTAATAAAGAAATCTACATGGGTTATTTTTCTGAAATAGATGTGGTCTACACAAAAGAGTTATCTTGCAACTGGGAAAGCAGGCTATTAGAAAGTTTACATTTGTTTCTTTGCAAAAAATATATGAGGAAAATAAACAGGACATATACACCAGTTGCATCTGAAATTTACATAGATAAAGGATGAGAGGCAAGTAAGTTTTTGAAAATTTAAGAAACTTGTGTAAACTTTATAATGAAAATCTAAATACATTAGTCATGGGGGGAGTGGGGATCAGAGGGGCAGCTGGCTTGCGGCTTGCGGGGCCCGCCCGCCATCTGTCCCTGCTGCTGCCTGTGCTTGAGGGCACTCATCCCTCTCCTGTGTCTAAACGTGTGTGGCTCTATTAATGCATGACTTATCGCTGTAATTCCACACCACTGGACATTTGGGAGAAGCTTAGTACAAGCGGTGGATAGAATAATGTCTCCTCTGGCTCCTTCTAAGCCTGTTCGCGTTAAGGCTGGGCTTGGCATGAGCACCGTGGCTCCTTCCAGTTACGGAGGAGCCCAGGCCCTGGGGGTGGCAGCACAGCATCTTCACAGGCTGAGGCTCCAAACGCCGTGACCTGCCGCTCTGCAGACCGAAGTCAGGCTATACTTTCACCGTCAGAGGCTATGCTGATCAGCAAGCTCACTGCTTCCTTTAAATGCTCTTATTCCTTCAGATTTCATTTCTCTCTTTTGTCACTTTTCTTCCATCATTTCTATCACACTTCTTAGTCTTTACTCTCAAACAGGCTGGTATTTATCATGACTCATTTATCAGAACATTTCTTTTTTTTTTTTTTTTTTTTGAGACGGAGTTTCGCTCTTGTTACCCAGGCTGGAGTGCAATGGCGCGATCTCGGCTCACCGCAACCTCCGCCTCCTGGATTCAGGCAATTCTCCTGCCTCAGCCTCCTGAGTAGCTGGGACTACAGGCATGTGCCACCATGCCCAGCTAATTTTTTGTATTTTTAGTAGAGACGGGGTTTCACCATGTTGACCAGGATGGTCTCGATCTTTTGACCTTGTGATCCACCCGCCTCGGCCTCCCAAAGTGCTGGGATTACAGGCGTGAGCCACTGCACCCGGCCCTATCAGAACATTTCTTTTGCTCAGGACAGAATTTTTAAAGTGGACAAGCAAAGCCTAACATCCCTTCCAGCCCTGCAATACTATGCAGTCTACACAGAAGTAGAAGAGTGCTCTTCTCACTCATTGGCTTTGCTTCAAGAAATGGGCCGGCTTCTGTAATGATGAAGACCAGCTCACTCAAACCTTGGTTCCCATGAAATAACTGAAGAGCTTACAGAATACAATGATAGTCCCAAAGGGATCTGATGTGACTGACCAACATACACAAGGCAACCTCAGAAACACCATCAGGAACAATGAAAATGGTACAATCAATGTGCTCATCCATATACGTACAGCCAGATCTCAAGTTTCAGTCATCTCTTCACATTTTGTTTGCACGTAAAAGATGTGTCACAGGCAAGGTCCATGACCCCTCTGCCCTCCTCATTTTCATAAGCCACATTCCGTGTGAGATTCATTTCTAAAAAACAAAATTCCAAAACTATCCATTGACACATACAATGACTCAAATGATAAGACATTCTCACATAATTGTTTTATCTAGATGACTGCCTTAGTTATCAACAGTATTGAAGTCTGCCCAAAATTTGTTGGAAAAAGAAAAATCCATTTCCCCAAATAAAACCTCTCTTTGATGGCAGAGAAGCCAACCGTGCTCATAAAAACAAGTCAATAATTGAGAATGAGAAAGAAAGAAAAAGAATGCTAAGACATAGAAAGGTACATTTCTGCTAGAACTCTGATGAAAGATACTATTTCTGAGCAATTCTCCTTCCACTAGTATGTTTGAAATTTTGTTTGAACTATGGAACACATATTTTAACCTAAAAGATTGACAGAGGCCACATGAATATATATCCTATTCAAAATGTACAAATACTTCTTTTTTTTTAATAGTTATAATGACAGTTTATTATAAAGGATACAAGTGACCCGCCAGATGAAGATACACAGAGCAGCAAGGTGTGGAGGGGTGCTGGGTACAGAGCTTTCGTGCCCTCGCAAACTGGCCTTTCTAGTATTTCAATACATTCACCAAGCAGGAAGCTCTCCAAGCCTTATTGCTGAGAGATTTTATTTACGTTTCATTTTATAGGTATAATTGGTTAAATCAGTGGTCATGTAATTGGGCTCAATTCTAACCGCCTTCATCTCCCCAGAGATTGAGAGGGCAAAAGTTCCTACCCTCTAATTACATGATTGGTTTTTCTGGCAAACCTCCTTTATCCTGAAGCCATCCAGCCAGTCTTCCAGCCCCACATCCATGAACCGTCTTGCTGGCATAAATTCAGGTGTGGTCCAAAAGGGGTTGTATGAACAGCAAAAGACACTCTCATTCAGGAAATGCCTAGGGTTTGTGAAGCTCAGTGCCAGGAACTCGAGACAAAACCCAAATGTACTTTTAAATTATACCACAAACTTGGAATTTGAGAATGGTTAGTACCCATTGGAAGTGGCTGGTACCTATCTAAAAGCCTCAGTCCAAAGTGAGAGGTGAAGAATATTATTTTAACATCCTATTACAGAGTGAAGGTGCAGCAGAACTACTGCAACGTCACATGAGTTCAGATAGGACAAACATGGTCTTTAAATTGGGGTGTGATTAGTTTTAAATATTCTTAGATTTTTTTTCACCAAGTTAGGTCATTTTAAGTGAAAGAAAATGATGGAGATCAAAGAAATTGTCAAAACTTTGCCTCCCTGATAATTAGCGACACAGTTTTAATATTTGTTATAAACACCCCGTAGCGACTGCCTTTAGTGAACCAATTTAGATGAGATTCCCTGCGTTATCGAAGCCATGAGAACAATGGCATATAATGAGAAGGATATTTTCCTATTTTGAAAGGTTTGTGCTTAGAATCTATGTGCTTATAAATCTTAACAGAGGTTTGGAAAGGAATGATTTATCAGTTAAAAGGAATACTTGAGTCATCAGCGCTTCTGGTGGGGGAAAGGAAGTGACCAGAAAACCACTTAATAAAAGCGAAAAAACTAATACTGTTCCTCTGAGACACATTTTTACTAAAATTATATTTTCTTTTCATTTCAAGATCAGAATCAAAGGCAAATTTAACTACAGTGAAAATAGCTGTTTTCAATAATTGAGTCTCTCAAATATGATGTTATGCATGTAGATAACATAATACGGTTTCTTTAAAGTAATATAAACCTAACCATATTCACATAGTTACAGATGAGCAAAGGTGTTTTAGCATCTAGTGACACGTTTAGGTAGAAGGTACCTATTCTTTAACTGTATTACTTTAATTATGATCTAAATAAAAACGTTTCCTTTATTCTGTTTTTCAAGCCCACTTACCGTCTTTTTTCAATGGACTCATGACATTCACATGTTCTGTTTTCATAAGTTGGTGATGAAAGCGTATTAGGTGAAATTAATTCTATGGTCACTAATGGGATTCAGAGATGCTGTGTCCACAGTTTCTCAAAGGGACACTGTAGGAGTCTCAGTTTGTAAACATCCATCCGTGTAAAAAACTGTCTCTGCATCTGATGCCACATGCTCATGCTGATGAGGAGACTGTGCCTCCTCGTACAGGGTCAGTCAGGTCAAAACCACTTTTGTGGGCATTTGCATCATGAAAATTACAGAGATGAGTGTCACACTAGCAGCCTGAGGGTCTTCACTGGAACATCTTCTCTTTCATTTTCCTTTAAAAAAAATCAGTAACAGATTCAATAGTAAATTTTATGTTTCATAACTCATTATAACATTTATGGGAAAACTCAGTTGATATAAAAGGTTTCTTATATGAAGAAACAATATACAGTACTTACCGCATTCCAGACTACCTGTGAACCAAAGATAAGCAGTTGACCAAAACCAAAATCTGTGATGTGGTCAGGAGAAATACACAAATCAACAGATTCAGATACTCCTGGGCCCCAGACACCAACAGATTCAGAGATCAAAAGTGGGTCCTGTGTATCCATTACACGAGAGAATGATAGAAATGACAGCTTAACTTTTGTCATTACCAATCCATGTCTCCACAAGGGTGGCCAGCCCATTAGTGTGACCAGCTTCCTAAAATTAATATGGATAGCAGCCCCTGAAAACATAGATATCAGTACCTTTTAATAGGAGTAAAATAGTGGATACTACAAATGCCCCTGAAAAGTCCAGTAAAATTTGTATCAGA